TTTTTCTGCTTATGTGGTGCTGAGGAATCGAACCCAGGGCCTCATGCATGCAAGGCAAGCACTCTACCACTGAGCCACCTTCCCAGCCCCAAGTTACAGGTTTTCTTCCTCCTTCTTCCTTTCCTACATCCTTTCTGCCTGTGTGTGTGTGGGCTCGCGTGCGCGCGTGTGCCACAGCTTCACTTCTGGCTTTTTGGTGGTTCATCGGAGATAAGAGTTTCATGGACTTTCCTGCCAAGGCTGGCTTTGAACTGTGATCCTCAGATCTCAGCCTCCTGAATAGCTAGGGGCTTCTTATATTACCTTCTTGAACATGTCTAGATCACACTAGTGACCCCCACACAGAGCTTTTTAATTCTGAGGCACAGGCCGCTCCGGCCCACCGCCTCGTCCCGCCCCGTCCAGGCGTCCTGTACAACCAGTTCCTGTCGCAAGTGGACTTCGAGCTGCTGCTGGCGCACGCGAAGGAGCTGGGCGTGCTGGTGTTCGAGAACTCGGCCAAGCGGCTCATGGTGGTGACCCCGGCCGGGCACAGCGACGTCAAGCGCTTCTGGAAGCGGCAGAAGCACAGCTCCTGAGCCCGCAGAACCGGAGCACCCCGGGCCGGGACCGGACCCTGGCGGGCGCGCGGGCGGGACCGGGCGGGATGGGCGAGCCGGCCGCGCAATGGCGGCCGCGGCCTCCTAACTCAGGTGCTTTTTATTATTATTATTATTATTCACCCGCGGAAACCTTTCTTGTTTACAATAAAGTTTTAGAAGTGAGCCGCACAGCCCCGCACACCTCCCCGCAGACCACACCTCCCCGCAGGCGACACGTCCCGCACACCTGCTCGTGTCCGCGTCCGCGGTCCTCTGACGACGGGGCGGGGCGGGGCGGGGCGGAGCCAGGAGGCGAGGCCGGCCTTCGCGCATGCGCCGCACGTGGCCACGCCCCCACGTGCGCTCGGGTCGCCGGCCGTGTTCCGGTGTCCGGGACGCTGGAACCCCCTACCCCTACCGCCGCGGGGCGCCCTGGGATAGCCGCGGGGTGAGCGCGAACGTGGCCGACTCCGGGAGCTGGGGGGCGCGGGGGAGTCGCTGAGGGCCCGGGCCCACGTGGTGGCGCCGCGGGGCGGCCGTGCCGGCCGGCCAGACGCGCAGCAAGCGGCACCAGGCCTGCTCGTAGGGGCCCTTGAATGTTCATCATCCCGTCCCTGAGCTGCGGTCTCCAGGGTGCTGCCTGCACGGTACCCCAGCCCTCGCGGAGCAGGGGGTGCATGCTAGTGTAGAAGGCAGGAAATAAAGGGGGTGTGACTCCCTGCGCCCGCTTGTCCTCCTGGTGTGCTCTGGAACTGATCCTGGCCGCTTCTGCGAACACTCCCGATGCCTCATTTGCCCCTGGCCTCGTTTCGGCCACCACTCTGGGGGCTGAGGCCCTCACGGGGCCTCCCCAAGCCCCGTCCCCTTTCCACACAATCCGAGCCCCATAGCTCCTCTGTCTCTCGGAGGAACCGTGAAGCCAAGCAGAAGCGCCTGCGCGAGAAGCAGGAGGCGCTGGAAGCTGCCATAACCCGGAAAAGCAAGGTTAGGGGTCAGTTTGTCTTTGGGTCTCAAAAAGACTTGGATGGGAGGCCGGAGGAAACAGCCTGGGGGCCAGATGGTGTATACTGGGAATTTCAAGTTCCCCTTCTGTTCCCGCCTTCCAGACACCCGCAGAGACCAGTAAGGCATGGAGTCCTAAGGAGATAGTATTGTATGAAATCCCAACAGAACCCGGTGAAAAGAAAGGTAACTGGGGAGCCTGAAGACCTTTCACTTTTTGTTTTTTCTTTTTTAAGTAAGGGTCTGGCTCAGACTGTCCCTGGAACTTACTATGTAGCTTAAGCTATTCTCAATCCATGATCCTCCTTGCATTGGCCTCCTCATAAGGATTACAGGCATGTCCCACCACACTTCTTTCCTATTTTAGTTGTCCATTTGGTGTGCAGAATAAGCATTGCACAGCTTGGAACAAAGTTCAACAGTTAACGGAGTTCCCTTCTGCTTCACAGATGTGTCAGTACCCTTGCCTCCTGCTTACAGCCCCCGATATGTTGAGGCTTCTTGGTACCCATGGTGGGTTCGAGAGGGCTTCTTCAAACCAGAATATCAGGTTAGTGCCTAGTTGAGAGGGTATTAAATGGTTCTCAGGATCCCAGGAAAGAGTGGTCCTTCAAGTAGGTGGGCACAGATGAGTCTCAGAGTCCAGTTGACACTGCGGTTTCTTTTCATTTGGTTCCTGGCTTCTGCAAAGGTTTCTGTTGCTTTCTTCTCACCTTTGCTGATTCTTCCTGAAGTTCTTTTTGCTTTGGTGGCACCAGAGGGTGCTATTCCCCCAGGTAATTTTCAGTCCTCTCTTTCCTTTGACTTTCCTCCTAGACGAGGCTGCCCCAGGCTACAGGAGAGACCTTCTCCATGTGTATCCCACCTCCGAATGTCACTGGCTCTCTACACATTGGCCATGCACTGACAGTGGCTATCCAGGATGCCCTTGTGCGCTGGTGAGAGGGGGATGGGGTCTTTGGCAGTGCAGAGGGAAGATACTAAGTACAGGAATGGGTGAGGATAAGCATATGAGCCCCAGAGCTCCGAGAGCATTTCTGTTTCAGGCATCGGATGCGTGGGGATCGGGTACTGTGGGTCCCTGGCTCAGATCATGCAGGAATTGCTACACAAGTAGGTCTTTGGTCACATTTTCCTCTTCTTGGCTGAAAGCTGTATCTTCTCCCAAAGCCTGCTGACTCACTGATCATCTGCCCCTAATCCTACTGCAGGCTGTGGTGGAGAAACAACTGTGGAAGGAGCAGGGAGTGAGGAGGCATGAGCTGGGCCGGGAGGACTTCCTTAAGGAGGTGTGGCAGTGGAAGGAGAAGTGAGTATGATGGACAGGCCACACAGGATACCCAGAGATGGCAACCTTTGCCTCTGTTTCCCATGATTCCTCTAAATTCCTGAGACAGAAGCTTTGGAACAGAACCCCTTAGCATTTGATGGAGTGTGTGCACACTATATATACACGTATTAGTGTGTACCTGCATGTATCCTAGTTTCTCTTGTACACATCCCCATTTCTCTTGTGTGTATTTCATCACCTCTTCTACCTGTCCATTCCTACCTCCCAGTTTCCATAAATTGCCTTCATTTGGAAAGATAGTCTGTTAGGGCATGTCATTATTTCTGTGCAATTCTCTTGGGTTTTCCACAAAGTGACTGTCCCTCCTCTGTAGATTCGTTGGGGTGTGTGTGTGTGTATGTGTATGTGTATGTATGTGCTGGCCCTGGGGCTTGACCTCCGCCTGGGCCTGATCCTGGTACCTGAGTTTTTTATGCTCAAGGATAGTGCTCTTCCACTTGAGCCACAGCTTCACTTCTGGCTTTTTTGGTGGTTAGTTGGAGGTTTTTTGGTGGCTTTTTTGGTGGTTAGTTTCACACTTTCTTGTGCAGGCAGGGTTCAAACTGCAATTTTCAGATCTCAGCCTCCTGGATAGCTAGGATAACAAGGTGTGAGCTATTGGTGCCTGGCCTTCTACCAAGTCTTTTTTTTTGGGGGGGGGGGTCCGGTCGTGGGCCTGAACTCTGGGCCTGGGCGCTGTCCCTCAGCTCTTCAGCTCAAGGCTAGTGCTCTACCACTTGAGCCACAGC